TCTCCTAAAATAGTTGCCACTACATCCTGAGTTGACCTTTCTGCCTTGAATTCCACTGGTCCAGCACATCTCCTAGAAAGCACTGCTTTGATAAGACCGTATTTTGGAAGGCATCCTAATGAATCTAAGACAGTATTTTACGGAGAGAACGTGTGCTGCCATACACTGAGCGTGGAGACATTTTTAAACATGCTTTGTTTGGAACAAACCCTGCCTGTATGAATTGACTTACCACTGTATATATAAAAGTATAAAGTTTGGCAGTTCATCAGAAAGTTATAGAATTGCCACATGATCCAGCAATGTCATTTCAAGTACATACTCAACGGAACACTGGGACTAACACAGATTGATACATGTGTTCCAATGTTCATTGTAGAACTATTCTAAATGGCGCAAGGGTGGAAAGAATTCAAATGTGTGTCCCCCAACAAATAAATACATAAATAAAATGGGGCATATTCATATAATGGAATATTGTCCAGCCACAAAGAAAAATAAGGCTTTGACACATATAATAAAACATGAATGAACCTGAAAAACATTATGCTGAATGAAATTAGTCTCATAATAAAAGCATATTTTATATGATGGTACATTTATGTGGTATCGACAATATACTAAACACAGGCCCAAGTTTATCATTAGTAAGGGCTGGTAGCAGGAAGGGTGAGTGGGTTATTATTACTGAAAGGGACACTGAGTTCCTGTTTCAAGTTTTCAAATTTTTGAAATGAGAGTGGTAAATTTTATTCCAATGACTGAATTGTACACTTAACAATGGCTAAAATGACAACTTTTCACCAATTACATTTTATAACAATAATGTAATAATTTAAGCAAATATGAAAATGTCGGCATGAAATAATAGCCCAGAGCAAGATAGGAATGTATTCACAATTCACTATGTAGTACAACAAATACTTTAAAATAATACCCCAGAAAGACTATTTTAACAAGATGCTCTATCCAAATGCTAGGTTCCATAAGCTCAAGCAAATGTATACGGAAAGGGACATTGTTGAAAATTCTGTACAAAATAGAATAAAGCTGACCTTAATATACTGTTGAACTTGGATAGGCTCAAATCCAGTGAAAAGCACAAAAGGGGTCAATTCTGGTGTTAACTTTTTAGTTGGAGGTGGTATATCTTCAATTCTGTAAGATAAAAAATATGTATTATTGACTTAAAGATTGTGAGAAAGGAAGGTGAGATAGTTTATTGTGCCAGCCTGGCTGATAAACGCAGGTGGGATTGACTGAAGGTCAGAGAGATAAATGGCTTGGTGAGCCTTGCCTTTCTTGTCTCTCGCTCTGTGATCATCGGACCAGTGTGCGGCTG